AAAAAAAAAAAGTGTGTTATTCTGGTTTTAGATGAGTTCTTAACTTTTTTTTTTTTTTTTTTTTTTTCACATATATTGTAAACCCCCTGAGGCTGAACTTGCAGTCGCATTTCACATTTCTGCTCATACACTAAATAAGCAAAATGTTAAAAATTCTTCCATACATAACTTCATTTAAATAATTTCCTGAAAAATACACAGTGATGTCTGCAGCATGGGCAAACATCCATTAACTCATGTATTACCTATGTAAAATAGTTCTGCTCTAACACAGACATATTTAACTTAAATTCTCACTTAAGTTTTACGGTGTGTGGACAGTTCTTGAAATTGTGACTCAAAGGGCAAGCAAAAAAGCACGGCTATTCTAGAGACTTTCTTGAGAGTAGATAAAACATTTTAAACTATACTGGAAGATCTGCCAGACTCTGGGATTTTTACCAAGGCGCAGATCAGAGCAGACACTGAAGATGAAGGAAACAAGCAAGTAAACATCTGGGATCCTAACAAGTTTTTCTCACAAGGTGGGTTTACATAAACTATTTTCTTCTCTACCTGATGCACTTCTGTAAGCTTTTTGCTGATTTGTTTCCTTCTGACCATCCTGTTCTGCACCACACTACCTACACAGCTTGGGGGACAGAATGATGGCTGTCACAGTGAAAATAACCCTGGCAGGAAGAGCTCTTTCTCCATGTCTGACACTGTCTGACAGGGATGTGGATTCATCATACAGAAAAAGCCTCAAAGCAATGCTTGAGCTTATCAGAGCACTAGAAATCTAGAGCTGATAAGACTACAGTGCCCATTCAGGAGAAATCCTCTGGGTGCACTATATACCTATAGGAAAACACCAAGGACACAGACCAACTCATGTCCAGGACCCAGAAGTCTGGGCATGCAGGTTCAGGCAACGTGACAAACATCTGCCAACTCCAATATATGATTTACTAATTTAAACTTGGTGTATGACAGATCTTCAGCTAGTTAAAACCAACACCCCACCCTAAGTGTTAGACTTAATTTAAAAAATATCACTTCTGTATTTTCTTCTCTGCACTGTCACAAACCAGTGACATTTTACAGAAGTCAATAAGAGCTGACACTGCAACAAAGAACTGCAAGTTACAGAAAGATGTGTGAGATGATGATTGATGCAATAAAGATTCACCCCTTTTATAAACTACTGCTTTTCCAGTACAGAACAAGAAATCTAATCTTACGACATGTATTTCAATGAATGCCCAATTCCTGTTTAAGTTTGTTTTACAATCACAGACTCTTTACAAGGGTGGATAGTGATAGGACAAGAGGGAATGGTTTTAAACTGAGACAGGGGAGGTTTAGGTTAGATATTAGAAGGAAGTTTTTCACACAGAGGGTGGTGAGGCACTGGAACAGGTTGCCCAAGGAGGCTGTGGATGCCCTAGCCTGTCCCTGCAGGCATTGAAGGCCAGGCTGGATGTGGCTCTGGGCAGCCTGGTCTGGTGGTTGGTGACCCTGCACATAGCAGGGGGTTGGAACTACATGATCATTGTGGTCCTTTTCAGCCCAGGACATTCTGTGATTCTATAACACACAGTGGAAGAGCCTGCCCTGCACAGCTGAGCTCAGAGAGACTCTTCCCCATCCTTCCACCTTACCACAGGTAGGATGACAAGCTTTATTTCTTCTGAGTTGATACCTGGAGACTGCATAGGGTAAGAAAAGCACAGGAATGGAGCATTTTGGTGGGCTGCTGGTATGGCTTTGCAACTGGTTGTGTTGATGTACAGTTGGTAATAGCAAACTGCCCTAGCTAAGACCTATTGAAGATTTGGTAATGGTTTAAGAATGCTGTTTGGAACTTAAAGAACCAGCAATGCACCTTGTAGTTAAGTGTTCAGAAGAAATACTGTTGTTTGCTTTGAGCATTCCTGATCACACTTTCACTTACCCCTTCTTCAGGATTCAGGAAAATAAAGGCTCATGCCCACTTGGAAGCAACACTGAATTTCAGGGTTCAGAACTGCGTGTGGCAAACTCTCCTCCTGGTGCCTGGTTAGCATTCAAGTGACAAAAATGCTATTACAGAAAATCAAAGATATCCAAAAGCAATTTCCAAACAAGCAGAATTGTGTATTATGTTTCGATATATCTTTTATAGTGTGCGTGAATAAGAGTGGATCCATAATGGCATTATAAATATAGCAAATTAATGGTGGATGCAATGCCAACACCTTGTCATTATGCAAATTGCAGCGTCGGCAGAAATGGTTATCCAACAATCCCTTGCAAAGAAACCAGATGCCTAATGCTGTTTCATTACATCTAAACTAATTAGTACCATATTTAACAATCTTTTCCCTTACCCCCTTGACAAAAGTGACTCCTGATGTTAATGTAAAAGTGTAATGAGCACTTTGTAGCTGGGGTTTTGCTCAGGGCAGTAACAGGCAGATAAGCAAAGGCACGTCTACTGCTCTTGGAAAGAACGAGGCTGAGCTTAAATTAAAAAAAGTAACTTTCACATATTAATGCTGGTATTATAGGTCTGCTAGCTCAGGGAGGAATTTGTGCTGCAGCAACATAGGACCAGGCATTGAAGTACCATCATCAGCAACAGCTGAGCTTGTAGGAAAGGTTCAACAGGAGTATAATTTCATTCTCCACTTGATGTGTTTTGAAGGAGAGGAAGAGGAGAGAAAGCATCAAGTCAGAAACCTGAGTAATTACTAACTTTATCTCCTCCTTTTCCTTCAGAAA